GCAAGTTTCTTGCAAGAATCTGCCTTCAGAATCTTGTACCAGTCTGCTGAAAATCCGCTGCAAGTATCTTACGATAAAGTATAATTCTGATGAAAGACTGCTGCAAGATTTGCGACAGATTCGTGCAAGTTTCTTGCAAGAAGGTGCCTCCAGAATCTCCCGAAAGATCATGAGCAGAATGAGGAAACAGACCCTATCTGTCTGCTGGCAGAATCTGGCAAGAATCTGCTGCAAGATTTGCAATAGTCTTGCTGCAGATTGCTACTAGGGATGAAACTGCGTTGCGCAGGTCCTGCTCGGTTTCTGCCGCCAATCTGCTGTAATAATTCCGAACAAATCCTGCTCGGTTTCTGTTACTGATCTGCTGTCAAATTATGTCAGCAGATTTTGTTACATTTCTGCTGACATTCTGCTATCATCATCTGATGAAACAGGTTTTGTATACAATCTGCAGTCTTTCTGCTCACAAAAATTTGTAGCAGACGTTTGGCAATATCTGTTCAAACAGACTTTACTGACTGGAATCATTTATTCGTGTACGCGTGTGTATATTCACGCAACGCTTAAGTACTTACAACAAAATTTAATGATCTCGACTTTATATTGGCCCCAAGTATTATAATTTGGAGTTGCACAGTCCAATATCAATGTTGCGTTATTTGCTGTTCGAGGTGGCCATAAACACCATTGTCCGTCGCCATTTTCCACCAACCAGATTGCCGGAATTTCAGAATATGTGGAATCTAATTTAAATTTCACAACAGCATACTTTTTTGCACTTTGTATGTTGTCACACATCATCGTTCCGTGACTGAAATAAAAAAAAAATAATATTTCAGTTGGACATTGTCTCATAAATAAAAACTTGAATATTAGCGGTATCCCAGCAAACAAATATATAACTGTTACCTTACTCGAATAAAACAGAATATAATACATAATGTAACATATACGTTGCACATAACACACAGATTGATCGTAATTTCTCACACACCTAAGGGCCTATTCAGACAAACTTACATTGTCGCATAAACATATGCATAAGGAAATTGATCGGTCCATTTGCTGATGCATTTGCTTATGGACTAATCAATTTCCTTATGCATATGTTTATGCGACTATGCAAGTTTGTCTGGATAGGCCATAATACTGCACTGAAAAACAAATTCTAGGTAAACTTGTGAGATGCATTTAGTAATGCATGTTTAAAAATTATTTGGTTGTTATTATTAATTATAATAATAATAACATAATATTTGATAATAATCACAAATATTTTAAAAGAGCAAATTTTGCGTTTAGTCGAGCTAACTAAATTACATAGTATTTATTATCGAAAAGTTTGATGATAATCAGCAAACAATTTGATAATTAATGCTAAATTGTTTTAAAAGCATTATCTGATTGATTTGCTAACAGTTACTACATTATTTGATAAGTATTACTAAATCAGAGATTATTCTTTACGACAGCGCTCGGAATTAGTTGCACATTTCGAGCCGATTCTCGAGACAATAGATTTGTTCTTTATTGCTGCACTGAGTTCACACTGCACTGAACTGAATTGAAATAGTGCAAGCGGGGACAAGTTAGTGTAAGTGAGTATAAAGAACGTTTTAGTGCAGTGATCAATATGACGCACCGCGTAATATTAAATGAATTATTAGATTCTTTTGGATAAAAAAATATAAATCTGCCACCATTTATACCTCTTTTAGATGACGATGACGGTGGTAAAATATGTATTTTATGTGTAATGTATTATTAATTATTGTTATATATTGATAAAATTAAAATTTTTTGGAAATTTAATCTAATCTAACCTAGTAACTATTTTTTTTTTTAATTTTGATGAGTTACGATTATTACATCCAATTTTTGGAATGATACAAAAGATTGAACGTGTCAAAATAAATAATTAAATAGAAAATATTGTTTATAATTATGACAATTTGAATTTCATCATGCATTTTCGATTATCGAGGATAGTAGCATATGAATTGATAGATTGATTTAGAGTGTTGGAAGTATTTATTTCTTTACAAAATATATATTATTTTAGATAGAAAGCTTTGAAGATAATATTTAATTAAATGTTTCATATATATATATATACAGGGTATTTCATTTTAATCTAGCCAGACGAATATTTCAAACGCTGTTGAGTTTAGAGAAAAATGTTTCAGACAAAAATTGTAGGGTTTGGAGGGGGACACAAGATGGTGGTCTTGAGTTTTCGATGAAGATAAAATTGAAGGTCATATGAAGGTCAACTTTGTTTTTTAAATAAAATGTAGTTATTTTCTATTGCATATTCTGAAAGATATAAAATTCTGCATTAAAATTGTCTGACACGTTTTTCATCAAAATCCATAATTTTTGAGGAAATTTAGCAATTAAAAAAAAATGTTTGTTTTTCGTAAAGAGAATCATGCATTAATTTGTACATGTTCATGAACATTTCTCGTTCTTAGAGTTTCCCGGAATCAACGGCGTGGACGTGACAAAAATCTGATTCCATCGGGGTGCTTGATTTACGTGAGTCCCCTTGCCTCTTACTTTCGGGGTTGCTAAATTTGCTAAATTTCCTAAAAA